TACCAGACTGTGTAGCTCTAGGCAGGTGGTTCTCAAAAAAAATTTTTTTTTCTTTTAAGATGGAATCTTGTTCTTTCACCCAGTGGGACGATCTCAGCTCATTGCAACCTCTGCCTCCTGGGTTCAAGCAATTCTCCTGCCTCAGCCTCCTGAGTAGCTGAGACTACAGGCACATGCCACCACGCCTGGCTAATTTTTGTATTTTTAGTAGAGATGGGGTTTCACCATATTGGCCAGGCTGGTCTCAAACTCCTGACCTTGTGATATGCCCGCCTCTGCCTCCCAAAGTCCTGGGATTACAAGCGTGAGCCACCACACCCGGCCGGTTCTCAAATTTTAACCTGCATTGTCACCCAAAGGACTTGTTAAAACGCAGATTACTGGGACCCATCCCAAGTGTTTCTGATTCTTTTGGCCCGGGGTGAAGCCCTAAAATTTGCACCGTTAACAATTTCTCAGGTGGTGCTAATGATGCTAGTTGGGGACCACACTTGATAACCATTGATCTGAAGTTGAAAGTCCTATACTCAGATGATTCTAGACTCATTCTGAATGTAGATGTTCTGGACTAGTGGTTCTCAAAGTACAGTCCCTCGACTAGCCACATCAGCATCACCTAGGAGCATCTTAGAAATACAAAACCCATCAGCAACCCAGCCCTCTTGGGTCAGAAATGCATGTTAGCAAGATTCCCAGGGGACTGTCTGCACATTAAAATCAAAGAAACACTATTCCACACTGTCATGCCTTGAGGTCAGGGCTTTGTTGATCTTTGTCTTACCAGCACTGAGCATAGTTCCTGGTACACAGTAGGTGCTCAACAAATAGGAGGAAGAGAAAACAGTAGGCACTCAACAAATAATTTCAGGAGGAAGGAAGGAAAAGAGATGAAGGTTGCACAGCTATTAAATGTGTTTTTCTTTCTTTTTTTTGAGACCAGAGTCTCACTCTGTTGCCCAGGTTGGAGTGCAGTGGTGTAATCAGCTCACTGCAACCCCTCCACCTCCCACGTTCAAGCAATTCCCTTGCCTCAGCCTCCTGAGTAGCTGGGATTACAGGTGCCCATCATCATGCCTGGCTAATTTTTGTATTTTTAGTAGAGATGGGATTTCGCCATGTTGGCCAGGCTGGTTTTGAACTCCTGACCTCAAGCTACCCTCCTGCCTTGGCCTCCCAAAGTGCTAGGACTACAGGAATGAATCACTGAAGCTGGCCAGCTAGTAAATTTATTTCTCATTATTCCTTCAAAGAATGGGGCCCAGTCCACATCCTTAAACCTGACTCACTATTTCAAAGCTGCCTCATAAGGGGAGAAAAGATCAATAAGGCAAATTCTCAGATAGGAGATCAGCAGGTCTTCTTCAAGTGACAGCTCCCCATGCAAAGCCCCTTACTTACAGATCTTTCCCCCTACATCCATGATCTCCACACCTTCTGGACTTTTAACCTTGGGACTTCTGAGACCAGGCTATTCTAGGCTTTATTCCTTTTTTTTTTTTCAAATGAGATGGAGTCTCCCTCTGTTACCTAGGCTGGAGTGAGGTGGCACGGTCTCAGCTCACTGCAACCACCACCTCCTAGGTTCAAGCTGATTCTCCTGCCTCAGCCTCCCAAGTAGCTGGCATTACAAGTGCCCGCCACCACATCCGGCTGGTTTTTGTATTTTTAGTAGGGATGGGGTTTCACCATGTTGGCCAGGCTGGTCTCGAACTCCTGACCTCAGGTGATCCACCCAACCTCAACCTCCTGAAGTGCTGAGATTACAGGTGTGAACCACGACACCCAGCCTATTCCAGGCTTTCTAACTGAACACTGAAGATGGCGGCCTGGCCCAAGGGTGTCCTAGGTACAGAAAGGAGAAATTGTAATCAGTTTATACAACAAACCACTCCCAGTATATGCTGTATTTCTCTAGGCTCTTGTTTCTTGACACACCACCATCTACCTCCAGTCCTCCTTAGCATCTTCTCTTGATCCAGCTCTTCAGAAATCAGAACTAAATCACAGCATTTTTGAATTGAAGAGAACCAGAAAGATCTATACACACACACAGAGAGAGAGTGAGAAACATCAATATTCCAAGTGATAAAATAGTCTGGTCACTGAGAAGGTTAGTAGGAGGCGATACTCAGCTCTCCTGACCCCTGACTCAAATTTCCAGACACAAGATATGGCCACAGTCCAGTAGACACTTGCTCCTGAAGTTCTCCAGATATCTGATTCAAGAGACATCAGGTTAAAATGGAAAAATAAAAATGATCATGGCTGAGCATGGTGGCTCATGCCTGTAATCCCAGCACTTTGGGAGGCAAAAGAGGGTGGATAATTTGAGGTCAGGGGTTCAAGACCAGCCTGGCCAACATGGTGAAACTCTATCTCTACTAAACATACCAAAACGAAAACAAACAAACAAAAAATTAGCTGAGCGTGGTGGTGCACACCTGTAATCCCAGCTACACGGGAAGTTGAGCTGGGAGAATCACTTGAGTCTAGAAGGCAGAGGTTGCAGTGAGCCAAGATCATGCCATTGCACTCCAGCCTGGGTGACAGAGATCCTGGCTCATAAATAAATAAATAAATAAATAATCAGCATTTCCTTCTCTGCACGAGACTTGAAGTGCACAAATGCTTGTTTCTAGGTAACTACAACTATCCTGCCAGACTAATATGGCAAAGGGAGTGTTAGTGGAGCCCCCTGGAGACAGCTGAGGGCCATAGCTCAGGACTGAGTTTGACAGCAGGGAAAACAGGCTGATAGGGTTTGGCTCTGCGTGCCCACCCAAATCTCATGACAAATTGTAATCCTCAGTGTTGGAGGAAGGGCTGGGTGGGAGGCGACTGAATCTTGAGAGCGAATTTCCCCTTTGCCGTTCTCATGATGGTGAGTGACTTCTCATCAGACTTCGCTGTTTTAAGAGTGTGTGGCACCTTCCCCTTCCCTCTCTTCCTCCTGCTCCAAACACGTAGAATATGCCTGCTTCCCCTTCACCTTCTGCCATGATTGTAAGTTTCCTGAGGCCTCCCTACCCATGCTTTCTGTATAGCCTATGGAGCTGTGAGTCAATTAAATCTCTTTTCTTTATAAATTACCCAGTCTCAGGTAGTTCTTTAGAGCAATGTGAGTTTATTTGATCTCTTGGAGTATTGGTGTTTCTATAGATAGATAGGTAGATAGATACAGATAGGATGGATGGATAGATAGATAGATAGATAGACAGACAGACAGACGAACCTTTTTGGATATTAGTCTGTGGAATAATACACAGCCCCAGATCTACAATTCTGCCCCACATATTCCTCAGTTGGGGAAATCTTGCCAGGCACACCTCAGAACCCCTTGGACACAAACACTGTAATTTCTTTATGAAACAAATAATAACAGTTTATTGTGGGGGGAAATTCACCCCTTAAACTCTCCTTCCTCTGCCCAGAGGTAATTTCTGCTGTTTTGTTACCCTTTATTGACTCTTTCAAGATTTTTCTGAGACTACATATGATTTTTTTTTAGACAGTTTCGTTCTTGTTGCCCAGGCTACAGTGCTGTGGCACAATCTCGGCTCACTGCAACCTCCGCCTCCCAAGTTCAAGCTATTCTCCTGCCTTATCCTCCTGAGTAGCTGGGATTACAGGCCGCCCACCACCATACCTGGCTAATTTTTGTATTTTTAGTAGAGACAGGGTTTCACATTGGCCAGGCTGGTGTCGAACTCCTGACCTCAGGTGATCCACCCGCCTTGGCCTCTCAAAGTGCTGGGATTACAGGTGTGAGCCACCATGCCTGGCCAATTATTTTTATGTAACAAAATCGTACTTCACATATTGTTTTGGAACCTGCTTTATTCATTGAAAAATATTTCATGTAAATGTTTCCAAGTCAATAAACATGTATCATTTTAGTGGTTCTTTATTCTTTTAAATGGAGGAATAATAATTCCTTTAAACACTATCTTTTTACTGGACACTTGGGTTATGTCCACTATAAAAAAATTCGCTGCAATGAGCATCCTTTTTCGTACGCCATGGAGCACTTGCTTAATTATTTCCTTAAGACAAATTCTTACAGGAGGAATTGATGCATCAAAAGACGTGTGCATTTTTCAAGCATTTGGGCCATATGTCAAATTGTCCCCAGCATGGCTGCACTCTCAGAAAGTGAGGTCCTTATGGGAAAGCTCTCCCAGAGCAGATGGGAGCTGAGTTGGAAGTTGAAAGATGTTGAAATAGAGACAGAGAAGCAGTATGGTATAGCAGGGCCATACCTATACCATACCAAAAATACAAAACCAAAAAGAAACAAACAAAAAAATTAGCTGAGCATGGTGGTGCGTACCTGTAATCCCAGCTACATGGGAGGTTGAGGTGAAAGTATAGCAGGGCCATACTGCTGCCCACAGCTGCCTCTGTCTTTACCAACTTGACCTTCAGTGGCAAACCTGGCTCCCTCCTCACAAACTGTGTGACCTTGGGCAAATTACTTACCCTCTCTGAGCCTCTCTCTTTCTTCCTCTGTAAATGGAGCTATGACTACCACCCTTCCACTATTGTAAGAATTGGAGACAATGTACCTTAAAAACCTTGCGAAGCTGTGCACTAAATTTTTCCTGAATGGATGAAATAAATTAATGGTTGAATGGATGGAGGGATACATTTTTTAAAAAGAAAAGGAAAAAGGAAGGAGGAAGCAAGGGAATGGGATGAAAGTAAAGACAAAGTGTATTTGTTGAAAAGTTCACAACTGCCTTGGGAGAGGGCTGGTCACCTTGGGAAGTTCTAGAAGGAAAGGAGAGACAGGGATGGGCCAAACTGAGCAGACATTTTCTCCATCACAACTTGTTCCTTATTCTCTGGGTACTGGTAGCTGGTGAGCAAAGGTGTCCCTGTTTCATGATGATGCCCCTAAAGCCCAGATATGAGCTGTCCCCTCCCAGAGACAGAATCCCATACCCCAGCCTGGGCTGAGCATTGCAGTGGGCTCCATCAACCCCACCTGAGCCCCTTACCTTGACGAGTCTGCCACAGTCCAGTGAAGGGACCCACACTGCCCGCTAGCTCACACTTCTGAGCCCATGGGCCATTGTCTCCTAGAAACCAGAAAAAGCATTAGGTCACCAGGCTGGTTGGACACTTTTGCTGACTTTCCACTAAGGCCCTACATCCCTGTGCAGAGCAAGGACTAGACAGAAAAAGGACTTACAAAGACAAATATGGGCTGGGCATGGTGGCTCACGCCTGTAACCCAGCACTTTGGGAGGCGGAGGGAGGCAAGTGGATCACCTGAGGTCAGGAGTTCCAGACCAGCCTGGCCAACATGGTGAAACTCCTTTTCTACTAAAAATACAAAAATTAGCTGGGCCTGGTGGCAGGCACCTATAATCCCAGCTACTCTGGAGGCTGAGGCATGAGAATCACTTGAACCCAGGAGGCAGAGGCTGCAGTGAGCCAAGATTGCTCAGCCTGCGTGACAGAGCAAGACTTCATCTAAAAAAATACATACATACATACATACAAATATGATTCTCACTCATGAAGAACAACTCTTGATATGAGGTCTGTCTCTACTGGGCTTTCAGACACAGGTGGTCTTTTCCTGCCCCAACCCAGCCCCATCATGAGTCTGTTGCCTTCTATTCCCTTGCCCTTTTGTAAGGTTTCAACAATCTCATTGCCACTGTCATCAGCCTCAGCCCAGTGACTGTTTATTGAGCATCTATTATATGCTGAGTGTTTCACATACATCATCTCCTAATCCTCCAGCATGCTATCCAGTATATTCTATTATTATCCAGTAGATAATAGCATCCAGTAGATTCTATTATTAGCTTAATTTTGGAGATGAGGAAAAGCAGGCTTGGAGCAACAGTAGAGTATAGATTCAAACCCCATAGGATTTGGTTTAGGTCTCTACTAGACCCAAAAGCAGTGTCCCTCCCCTTTTTTCTTAGACAGAGTCTCACTCTGTTGCCCAGGCTGGAGTGCAGTGGCATGATCCGAACTCACTGTAACCTCTGCCTCTGCCTCCGCCTCCCAGGTTTAAGCGATTCTCCCATTTCAGCCTCCCAAGTATCTGGGACTACAGGCGTGCACCAATACACCTGGCTAATTTTTGTATTTTTAGTAGAGACAGTGTTTTGCCACGTTGGCCAGGTGGATCTCAAACTCCTGACCACAGGTGATCCACCTGCCCCGGCCTCCCAAAGTGCTGGGATTACAGGCATGAGCCAACATGCCTGGCAAAAGCAGTGCTTTTAATCACTGCTGTCATTCCAGACAGAATCCAAAAACACGCAGTGCATGTGTGCAGCTTTTAAAGAGGCCACTAGTGCAGCCCACTAAGGCCACTTAGCCAAAAGACATGACACAGGGAGTGGCAGCAACCAGAATTTTTGGAACCAGGGAGGATGGAGAAGAGAAAAATCTCAGAACTGCTCCAGGACTACACAAGCTCACAATGTCAACATCATTCAGTGGCAATTAAGAGCAATACCCAGATAGCCCCAATGGACCCACAAGGGGCCAGCAAGGTGCCTGCTCTGTGTGTGCAAACCTTCCCAGGGACTTGGCCTTGGGGGCCCCAATGGACAGGTGCTCAGCATTCAGGCTGGCAAGCCTTACCTGGGCCTCAAATTCAAAGCAAGCCCCCATGACCTATGAAAGAGGATCTCTGGGCCAGACTCTGCTCTTCACAGGGAATGTGCAAGGTTATCTATTAAAAGGTAGTTAGGCTGGCTGGCTTTTATTATTTTACCTGTAAACCAGAGGAATGTGTTTTCCTTTGCTGTTCGGTCAACTTTGTCCTTGATCTGGCCCACCAGACCGTCCATCTCCCGGAGCCCTGCACCATACAACCTTCTGCCCCATGGTGCTGCTGGTAGCTGAGTCACAGGTAAGGGTACGTGCATGTGGGCCAGACCCACGTATAGCAGGAAGGGCCTCCCGCTGGTGCTGAAACAGGAGAATCAAGAGGTGACTCTGCAGAAGGCTCTCCTGGCTCGTCTGGCGCCTCAGGGATCCTCCCTCTCCTCCAGGAAAATCCCCAAAGCTCCTTCTGCCCCATGGGCTCAGGAAGTACACATTTATTCCTAAGCTTCCGAGAAATCATGGACGCAATCTGGTTAGCCAATTAAAAATGAGAATCACTGGGTGTGGTGGCTCATGCCTGTAATCCCAGCACTTTGGGAGGCTGAGGTATGTGGATCACCTGAGGTTAGGAGTTTGAGCTCCCCCTCACCATAGCCCCCAAGATCCCTTTTGCAGATGAAGAATCAGAAGCTTAAAGACTTAACCCAGGGTGTGCACGTGTCTGAATCTTGCTCTTAACTGCCACACTCTAAAGCCTAAGGCACACATGCACCTTTAAATTTTATTTTACAGCATCCAGACTATCCTGTCCATTCTCAGCCCCTCATTCCATTTTTTTTTTTTTTTTGAGACAGTCTTAATCTTGTCACCCAGGCTGGAGTGCAGTGGCACAATATCAGATCACTCCAACCTCTGCCTCCTGGGTTCAAGCAATTCTCCCACCTCAGCCTCCTGAGTAACTGGGATTATAGGTGCCCGCCACCATGCCCAGATAATTTTATATTTTTAGTAGAGATGGGGTTTTGCCATGTTGGCCAGGCTGGTCTCGAAACCCCAATCTCAGATGATCTTCCCTCCTCCGCCTCCCAAAGTGCTGGGATTACAGGTGTGAGCCACTGTACCTGGCCAGCCTTGTTCCTAAGAGATAAATGGTTGTTTCGAGTTGATCACAGGAATTCCAAGGACACATATGATCACAAGATAACATCTAGATCAGGGCTCTGTCAGAGGCCCTGGTGCTCTGCCGCCTCTGTACTAATCTTGATTCCCTTGAAAGTGTAGAATAAAAGGCTTGGAGGGAGCTGGGGTAGTCTCCAAGCAAAGGGCCCAGCCCCACTCCCAGGCAAGAGCAGCTGCAGAATCACAGTGGCGGCAGGGACTTTCAGGGTGCCCCTCTCCCACAGGCCCATCCACAGGGGGTCTTTGAAGAGGACAGCAAGCAAGGGTATTGAGAGAGTACAGTCAACCACATACAGAGGGTGTGGTAGATGCATGCGCCTTTCATGCTCAGAGTTTCAGTTGGCCCCGGGGTTCTCCTTAGCTCACCCAGGTTTACACCAACTCACAGCCTTGTTCTATAGTCAACCGTGCTCTCAAACCCCCTGCATCCTGGCTTCCAGGCTCTGCTGCCCGGGATTGTGCTTACACTCAGTTCTCTTTGATGGGCATAAAACCCTGGACACGAGCCCCAAGATAGGGGCCTCTGCCTTCCCCGTTTAAATCCACACTTTCCCTGCAACATTGCTACAGCTGTGTTGTTCAAAGCAGCAGCCACAAGCCACATGTAGCTACTTAGATTTCAATTAATAAAAATAAACCATATTGAAAGTTCCATGGTTCACACACTAGCACATGGGTGAACCTGGAGAGTATTATACTAAGTGAAATAATCCAGTCACCAAGAAACAAATACTGTATGATTCCACTTGTATCACCTACCCAGAATAGTCAATTTCAGAGAGAGAAGGTAGGATGGTGAGTGGAGGGAACTGCGGGGAAGAAAAACTGGGGAGTTTATGTTTATTTTTCTGTTAGAAAAAAATGAAAAAGTTCTGAAGATGGATAGTGGTAATGGTTGCAAAACGAAGTGAATGTTCAATGCCACAGAACTTTACATTTAAATGGTTAAGATGGTAAAATTTTATGATTATATATCTGTATATATACACATCCACAAATAAACACACACACACACACACACATTTCTAGCCACATTTCGAATGCTCAGCAGCAACAGCAGGTGGCTTGAAGCCAGCAGCTTGGACAGTGCAGACAGAACACATCTCCAGCCTTGCTGAGTGTTTTTCGCACAGCACTGATTCACAGTGCCTGGGCCCACTCTCCCAGGGCAGTCATGTACAGTTGGGCAGATTGTGGCCTGCAAGAGGACATCCTACTGAGTGAATGGGTCCGTATTTCCAGCTTACAATCTACTGGCTGGGTACGCTGCACAGGGCAGTTCCTAGCCAGAGAGGGTATCTTTTTTTTAAATTTTCAGGTAGATTCCACATTGCAGTGGTGCCTAGAGCTGGCTCAAATTTCAAGAATTTTTCAAACCAGTTGTTAAACATGTCCATTACTAAAAATTGAATTATATAAGTTTATAATTAAATTATGATTATTATCATTATTATTATTTTTGCCAGGCATAGTGGTTTATGCCTGTAATCCCAGCACTTTGGGAGGCTGAGGCAGGTGGATCACTTGAGGTCAGGAGTTTGATACCAGCCTGCCCAACATGGCAAAACTCCATCTCTACTAAAAAATACAAAAATTAGCCAGGTGTGGTGGCAGGCGCCTGTAATCCCCACTACTCGGGAGGCTGAGGCAGGGAAAACTGCTTGAACCCAGGAGGTGGAGGTCACAGTGAGCCAAGATTGTGCACTGTACTCCAGCCTGGGTGATAGAGCAAGACCCCGTCTCAAAAAAAATAAATAAATAAACAAATTATATATTTTAAAAGATAGTATATTCTCACCATTTATCACTTCCTAATTATTACATTCTACTATTATGCATGCTCATGGGATTATTTACATCTGTGGTATCTGTGTGGTGGAAACAGCACACAACGGCTTGCTACTGCCCATCATTTCTCAAAGCCACATTCAGTGACATCTCCATAGCTTGAAACCAGCCATGGTGAGAGTGAGTATTGACACCCCAGGAACTGGCAAATGCTACCGATTGTGGCTGTTTTCTTAGAAAGCGGTTCACCATGCGTATGGACAAGGGGTGGTTCCTCTGTCCTCCCTTCATCATCCATCGTCATCCTCCAAACTCTCACCCATTATCAAAGTCACATTAGCACCCTAAGCCAGAGGCTTACAGAGACGGGCAGTTATGAGACACGGCAGAGCACGGGCTGGTGAAGAGCTTGAGAATCTTGCATCCAAACGTCCGGATTTTTTATTATTTCAAGACTATGTAGCCCTGGACAATTAACTTAACCTCTGTCATCTACAAAATGGGGACAATCAGACCTCCCAACAGAGTCGTTGTGCAACTTCCCACACTAAGCATCTAGTAAATGGTAGCTTTCTTTTGTTTTTGAGATGGAGTCTCACTGTCTTCCAGGCTGGAAGTCTGGATCTCAGCTCACTACAACCGCTGCCTCCTAGGTTCAAGTGATTTTCTTGTCTCGGCCTCCTGAGTAGCTGGGGCTACAGGCATGTGCCACCACACCAGGCTAATTTTTGTATTTTTAGCAAAGATGAGGTTTTGAAATGTTGACCAGGCTGGTCTCAAACTCCTGACCTCAAGTGATCTGCCTGCCTTGGCCTCTCAAAGTGCTGGGATTACAGGCATGAGCCACCATGCCCGGCCGCTTCTTGTTAATAATGTTGAATACATGCCAGCAGTGGTAAGTATAAATGGTGCCCAAGGATATACCTCTTTCTCTGCATCCTGATGCCAGGTAGATTCCAAAAGATGACATCAGGCAGAGTCTACACAGACCAGTCCCCTGGGGGCATCTGTCCTGCAAGCTACCTCTTCATTATATACCTGAGCTGAATGGAAAATAGAGTGGGGATACCTTGTGCTTAAAAAAAAATGCTGATTATAATACAGTGTGACTCCACTTTTGTTTTTTAAAATATGTTCATTTCAACTATACCTTAATAAAACCAGGAAACATATGTTTATGCACCAGCATAGATTGAGGCTAGAAGAACCTACTCAGCTCTATTAAAACAGATGGTCTTCATGCCCGTAATCCCAGAACTTTGGGAAGCCAAGGTGGACAGATTTCCTGAGGTCAGGAGTTCAAGACCAGCTTGGCCAACATGGAAAACCCTGTCTCTACTAAAAAATACAAAAATTAGCCAGGCATGGTGGCATGTGCCTGTAATCCCAGCTATTCAGGAGGCTGAGGCAGGAGAATCACTTGAATCTGGGAGGCAGAGGTTGCAGTGAGCCTAGATTGCGCTGCTGCACACTCCAGCCTGGGTGACAGAGCGAGAGTCTGTCTCAAAACAACAACAACAACAACAAAACAACAACAACAAAAACCACACACACACACACACACACACACACACACACACCCCAACAGGTTATTTCTGGGATGTGGAATTCAGGGTGATTTTGTTTGTTTGTCTGCTTGTCTCAGTTTTCCAAGATTTCTAAAGGGAACACATGTTATTTGTGGGGGAAAACAACTGGAATGGTGACTAGAAAAGGGAAAACACAACCAATGTCAGGGTTCCAGGTTCAGATCCAAAGACCACGCGCACCCCCAACCCATCTTTCTCCTCTTTCCTGTTCGAATGTAGAGATGAATCTCTAGTGAGTGAGAGAATAAACTAATAAATAGCGATGCAATCATATCGAACGTCTCCCCCAGGGCTGTGCTCTCCGCCTCGCTTGGTCATCACACACAGCTGGGTGAGAGGCAAGCTGCGGAGCAGGGGCACTTAGACAGGCACGGGGCCAGCACTGAAGGCAGGTAGTGAGTCAAGTAAAAGAGAGAATTCTGCAGATCCCAGGGGTGAGCTCAGGAAGGCTGAAACGTGTCTTTCATCTCTGCATCCTAAGGACCTGTGTCTTAGCCTGCTCGGCTGGTGTAACAAAATACCAGTTCCTGGGGTGACTTCTCCCAATTCTGTTTTTTGGGTTTATTTGTTTTTGAGATGGAGTTTCGCTACTGTTGCCCAGGCTGGAGTGCAATGGCACGATCTCGGCTCATTGCAACCTCTGTCTCCTGGGTTCAAGCATTTCTCCTACCTCAGCCTCTCAAGTAGCTGGATTATAGGTATGTGCCACCACGCCTGGCTAATTTTTGTACTTTTAGTAGAGATGGGGTTTCACCATGTTGGCCAGGCTGGTCTTGAACTCCTGACTTCATGTGATCCGCCCACCTT